TCTTAACATTAAGTCTTCTAATCCATGAGTGAAATAAATGTCTTCCTCTTTTAGGTTTTCTTTAATTTCTTTTGACAATATTTTGCAGTTTTCAGTTTATAAATCTTGCAATCCTTTTGTTAAATTTGTTCCTAAGTATTCTATTCTTTTTGATATTGTAAATGAATTTGTTTCCTTAATTTCATTTTCAGATTTTTTATTGCTAGTATATTGAAATACAGTTGAGTTTTTGTATTGATCTTATATCCTGCATCCTTATAGAACTTGTATATTAGCTCTGATCATTTTTGTGGATTCCTCAGGATTTTCTACACAGGTGATCATATCATCTGCAAACAGGTCATTTTACTTTTTCCTTGTCGACCTGGATTCCCTTTACCTCTTTACCTCTTTTCCTTACCTAAGTGCCCTGGCTGGAACCTCCAGTGGAATGTTCACTAGGAGAGATCAGAGCAGACATCCTGCCTCACTCCTGAGCTGACTTGGTGCATGTGAGCTGGGGCGTGTTTGTAGGTGCCCCTTATCACGTTCAGGCAGTCCCCTTGTATCTTTAGTTTTGCTGAGTGTTTTATCATGAAAAGGTGTTGGATTCTGTCAGATGCTTCTTCATCTGTGCATGAGATAACCATTTGTTTCTTCCTTTGATTCTGTTACATGGTGTATTACGTTGATTCATTGTCACATGTTCAGTCAACCTTGTATTACTAGGATGTGGTATCCTTTTCCTTTTATTAAAACACTGTTTGTTCTTGTAGCAGAGAAATGAAGCTTTAGTTGATTGACCCTGATGACATTTCCATTGTAGAATTTTTTTTTTAGCGATTGATAGAAAATGATGCTCAGGTTTTTCTGTTTTGTTACATTTTATCCAATCCAGTCATAATTTTTGGAGAAGTTCAATTTGGGGTGCTTTTAGATTAAGTGTCTCTAGTCTAGAACCCGACTATGTCTCTTCCTAACCTCTTACAGTTTTCCACTTTTGTATATTTGGTGGAGGCTTATAACTCACTCCCATCAGTTCATGCCTGCTTTCTGAACAGAGAACCTTTGCCTTGGGTGATCTGCTTTTAAAGACAATATGTATATTGCATCGATACACATACACTTTTATTTGTGTCGGGTAAAAAGTTTCCCACTTTTTCTTTCATGTAAACGTGTAATATCCCAGATGCTGTGTCATCATAGACCGTAGTAAGTGGAAGTTGTGTGGTTGATCTGACACTCTCATCAGACTTCGTTCTTGGACAGTAGATCCTGCTTACTCCGTAATGTGATTATATTAATGAACTCATCGTACAGATTTTTGAGTTTTGGTATTCAAAAAGCCTCTTATCACTAGATTAATGTTCTGTGTCATTGTTTGAGTCCCTGCAATATGCATGTCACTCTGACACATGTTCTGAGCATGAGATGAATGGCCACACCCTGGGTCCAGCTCCTACAAATTCACAGCTGGAGGGAGAGATGGTGGGCAGGGTGGTGGTGGTGGTTGGAAAGGACCTGCTTGGTTGGAATAGGTGAACCTGCCGAGTGGGGGGCCCCTGCTCATGGTCTTGTGGCCCTGCACAGCCGTGGGGGCGGAGTTTCCTGCCTTCGCCTTGGGGCTGAAGACGTTGAACAACATTTCATATACTTATGGGCCTAGGATCAGCTTTGATGGAGAGGTAGATGATTGGTTTGAATCGTCACCATTTCTCGGGACAGTTTCTAAGGCAGGTCCCAATAGTGAGGTGGAGAATGTTAGGAAGGGGCAGTGGTCCTGTGAGCATGTAGGACTCCGGGCCTCCCTAGGTCCTGCTGGCCGCTGTTCCGGTCCGCGGAGCCGCGTTCCTACCAGGAACATACTGTGGTCACAGGCCAAGAGGTAGCGTTGCAATAACCCTCCACGTCTTGAACTAACTGATGACGGAGGGAGAAAATGAAACTGCTGGAAACTCTATCTCCTATCTAATGTCATGTGGATTCGTTTTGTTTTGGTAGTGACTCAGTAATTTGGGCTGATAAGTTCTAAGTCTGTATTTTACTTATTTGGTGAATTAAAAAGTGGATTGTGGTGGTTGGGTGATGACAGGGTTTTCCGCCGGCTGTAATGGTATTTATTTATGTCTTTAAAAAGATTCCTCCGTCTGCTTGTGGAGACTGGACTGTGGCAGAGGTGACGGAGCATGGAGGAGGCTGTCTCAATAATTTAGCCAGAGGCCATGGTCACTTTGGACGCAGGGCAGTGGCAGCAAAGATTGACAGAAGTAGAATCGATGATATAGTCACCTTTGTATGTTTTGTTTTGAAAAACTTGAGAGTTTAGTGGGGAACGGGGGGAACGTAACAGTGGCCTACATACTCCCCCAGAACCTGCACCCGAGCCGTGTCCTGCTCTGGGCCTGTGTCAGTGATGCTCAGGGTTCTGGGCCCACCAAGTGGGGCGGTTCTGGGTCTCCGTGAGGCTGACCCACCTGGAGCTATGCGCAACCCTGCTCTTCTCGGCTGTCAGCCACCGTGCCCCACTGAGGCCTCAGGTCTCCTGTACTCTGCACTCAGTTGGGCTCCTACCCCCACCCCCGCTCCCTTCCGGACCATCTGTTCCAGCCCCTCCCCACCCCCAGTCATCCCCTCCCTTGGCTGGATTCCTGGGTCTGACACTGTGGCTTCTGGCTCACTCAGCCTCTCAGCCCATCCCTGTCATACCCCCGGCGAAACCCCAGACCTGGGCTCACCGACTGCCTGCCCTCCCCGAGCTCACACCCAGGCCACTGGATGGCCAGCTGGAAACGCACAGCTCCGGAGCTCTGCAGGTGGTCTCACTCACAGCTTTCTCATGAACTGAACTTATCAGTCCCGGTAGGGCAGGGACCCGCCTGTTGGTCATGTCCCCAGGGCCGAGAGCAAACCTGTGTTTGCTGCCCTCACGTCCCACTCAGGCATGGACACTGGTTGACATCCAGCGTTTCTCTAGTGTGCTCACTCTGTCTTTTCAGAGGAGACGTCCTTACGTTCCCTTTTCACTCTTAGCAGATTCATCTTCTCTCATGCCTCTTCTGTAGCAGCACACCTCTGACGTGCCCCCCATGGGGGTGCCCCTTTTCCTTTCTTCCAGCGGCCCCCCACTTGTGCCCTGGACCCACATCCGTTCCTGTAGTCTAACCTTTCTCTCTCCTGCCTCACAGCCCCCCTCTGCTCCCCCCACATCGTGCCCACGGGCACATGGTCACCACTTCTTAGTCCCCAATTGTAAAACCCCACGCACTGCGTTTCCCCCCGCAGCCCTCGTAGCGCCTCACACCGCCTCACACCGCCAGCTTCTGATTTCCTGATTTTCCAGTGGCGGTAACTGATGACAGCCTTTTCACTATGGCCCCTTCCACTGGCACCCGCCCCTCCCAGCCAGAGAAAGGAGTGGAGACCCTTAGAAGTCTTGGTGACGTCAGCGTTCTGTTGACTATGTAAATATTGTTCATTACTGAGTGTCGTACTCGTTTTCTTTTTCATACAAGTTCTCATGTTTCCTAGAGCTAATGATTGATATTTTCATGTGTGGGGCTCTCTGTGTCTTTACTGCCATTTTTAAGGCGGGTGCTGTAACTCCTCCCAAACAGCGGCTGAGCCTTTCTCCCCAGGGTGCTGTCCTCTGGCCACAGCCCCCGCCAGCAGGGACGGCTCTGTCCAGGGCTCTCGGCTCCTGTCTTGGGACTTCCGTCACCGTTGCTGGGATGTCAGATCCCCCGTTTTCCTTTCTCTTGCTTTAGTCTTATCTTCTGGTGGTTTCCTGAGAAAAGGGGGTTTTGTTGTTTTTGCTCTTTGCGTGTTTGAAAACATATTCACTCCTCCCTCGAGCTTGTTGGGAAATTTGGCTAGGTATAGAATTATAAGTTGAAATTTATTTTCTCTCGGAATCTTGAGGGCGGTTGGTCTTCCATCCCCCATTTTCCTGCATCCTGTGTGATGCTGTCTGATCCTTTGTTTTCTCTGGAGAATGTTAGGGTCCCCCTTGACCCTTGGCGTTCTGGACTTCAGAGGCCACACCTCGGCCCAGTCTGCTCATTAGTCATGCGCGGAGCCCCTTGGGCCTGCAGCTTGGAGCTCATGTGCTTCCACTCTGGGAAGCTCCTGTCTCGTTCCTTTTCTCTGTTCTCCTTCTGGAATGCGTTACCTGGGTGGGGGGCTGCCTAGCCCGTTCCTCTCATTTCTTTCCTGATTGTTGTCATACTGTTTGAGTTTCAGCGGGCTCTTCCTTGTTTCCTTTCTCATGCATCTGCCGGTCTCCTAGGGGCCCCACTGGAGATAGGGGCACCCTTCCCCTGGGTTCCGCCCGGGGCTGCCGCCATGGACGAGCTGGAGACCATGCCCACCGTGCCCAGCTCCTGCCCCTCTGCAGCGGACAGCACACTTCATAGGCTGTTCCCAGGCCCGCCAGGTTAATGCAGGGGCTGTGCTCAGTGAGCGTGGTACCTGGCACCCAGCCAACACTGGTAATCACTGTTCTGGGCATTAGCCCCTGGCGACATCCGTTGTTATTTCTTTGACATGTTATTGACACACTGCCCCTCTTTGCTCCAAGTTCCTTTGTTTCGGGGTTTTCTCTTTCTGATCCTGAGCTGTTGGTTCAGGTTTTAGATGGAGCTGCTTTGGACCAATAGGCAGTTCTGTGAGCACGTGGCTTTTCAGCTGGAGGGTCTCCCTGTGGTTGGTCACTTCTTTAAGGGCCCCATGTGTGTGAATCTTGAGGCCTTCTGTCCCAGGCGTTATCACTTTGGAGAGGACCCCTGGGGGTGGTGGGAACCGTCATTGCTGGCTGTCAGCGTAGGAAAACAAGAAGTGGGAGTAGCTGGTGCCCTTACCTATCAGGATGGGGCACGCTGGGGACCCCGCAGTTCTGCACAGACGTCCTGCCGTCTCTGTGCCCAGCCCCCGAGGCCCTTGGTCGGTCCCCGTTCCTCCAGCCCCTGCTTCCACTTGTTGTCTTGTGGACGGTGTCTCTTTCCTTTCCTTCCGATCCCGTGATGGGAGTTGAGAGAAGAAGATGGGCACCTCCCCGGGTCCCCCACCCTTACCGGAGTCTGCAGTGGGTTCCTAGGGGCTGCTGGGCGTGCTGCACAGCTTCTGAGGATGGGCAGATACTTGGTAAGTACTTTCTGATCAGCCAGGTGCTGCCGACGGCAGAGCGCCTCGACACGGACTGTTTGCGCCTGGCTGGGGCGCTAGCTCTGGGAAGAGGCCTGGAGGTGCCAGTCTGAGCTGTGCCGGGCAGGCCCTGCCACTCCGACAGAGAATGGGCAGGGTTGAGGCATCACGCGCTACGTGGTTGTTTTAAAATACCTGTTTCGGTGCCCTCACTCAGTATCACGTTTATGCTTTTAGCATCAGTTTGGTTTTGTAAAATAATATTCATCATATGAAATTCATGTTGGTAACTTAAATTTTATTGGTTTTTTAATTTTGTTAGTATTTAGTTGGAGTATTTATTTTGATTTTAGAGCTCTTCTAAACTCTACAGAGTATTACTAATTTTTGCTTTATACATATTTACATAGCTTAATGAAAATGATTTCTCACCACTGGCAGTCATGTGAGTTCCTCTTTAAAAGATTCAGTCCATTTTAATTAAGTTTGAAAATCACTGACAGAGCTGGAATACCATTAATTATATAACATGATACACCCCCTGGGTATAAATGACATAGATTTAGTCTCTTTTAGTCCATTACAGAATATTTCAGTTTCACTTAAGCAAATTAGGTTATTTTGAGTCATTTCATTTAAAAAGTGACATTTCTAACAAGGAGAAGCCTAACCCTTTTTCCAAGTCTAGTGGAAGATTTTTTAAAAATAGAAAAATGAAATTCCAGGCAATCGAATTCAGTATGTTTTTATAAGTCAGTGAACAGTTCTGGTGCAACAAGAAATACTATATTAATATTAATAATTATCTGGTTTAAATGTTTGTGCACACCATTAGGAATTAATTATAGTCGCTTTGAGGGATTCTTCGAGTAGTTCCAGCATTGGGGCCCGTTTTTGATTGGCGTGGACGTCAAGTATGGTAGCTGTTGGGCAGTGCATGTTTGAAGTGCTCTGGCTTCCGCGGTCGTGTGGCCCGGCCTGTGCAGGGCTCGCTCTCATTGGCTGGTGGACACGTCCTTGGAGCTGGTGCCCCAGCAGCGGTTAGAAGTGAACAAGTCCTTCCTCCGTGCAGCTGAGATGAGATGGTCAGGGTGGCTGACAGATTGAGTCTGGTTGGTCGCAGAGCATGTGCACACTGGCCCATCGGAGACCACGCCATGCCGCTGTCCTTTCCCGGGCGTGTGATTCCGTGTGCATGTCCTGAGTTCAGGTCCATGCCCTCTTCCTGAAGTCCTAAGGACCCCTGAGGCCTCTCCAGCCCTGGGCTCTGTTCCTTGCACTCGGGGCCTTTACCCACAGTGAGCTGATTGATGCCCAAGATATTTGCGTTGATGGTGTCAGAAGTCTCAGGTGTCTGCACAACAGTGCCTCACTAGGTCGTGGTGGCATCATTGTCAGTGGCAGTGACTTTACCCAGACAATGGAATAGAACTTGTACTGTCTGTAATGTTACTTTGTACAGACGCCAATAAAAGTCACTGCATAGAATATTAAAACATTTCTATTAAGTTATATAAGAATCAGATTTATTTTAAAAGTTAACATTAGGCATGCGTTATAAAACTGGGCACCAGTCTCCTACCACCAATTTTTTTCTCAAGTTTTTTTTTTTCTTTTCAATGTTAATTTTTTAAATGTCCATCCTATACCCTCATATTAAGACAACCCAGTCTGGATAAGTCCTGGTGCCCCCAGACCCCACATTAGATAACTTGAGGAAAACCCACAAATCCCTACGTACTCGTGGGCACTGGGATCCAGAACTAAGTGGCTGCTTGGTATAATAATTACAAGTTTCCCATGAAAGTTTGGCTTTAAGGGAAGAGGTGTTACATGTGTTTATCTCTCTTGTGATCCTTTGTATTGATTTTTGGTATTCATTGTGACTCCTCTCAAAATCATAATCTGGTAAATGGTTTCTGTATTTTATTGACAGCTGACATCATCTCAACTGTTGAATTTAATTACTCTGGAGATCTTCTTGCAACAGGAGACAAGGGCGGCAGAGTTGTTATTTTTCAGCGGGAACAAGAGGTCAGTAATTTACAATGCACAAACCCAGTGAAGTCATCCAATCCTCATAGCACTACAATTACTTTCTCAGCCTCATTTCATTTAGATTCAGTTATATCGCATTAACCGTACAGAATCTTTTTTCAGAAACTATCTCCGGGCTCATTGCTGTAATACACCTGTTGTAGCTGTAATTTTCATTGCGTCCATGTCTGTTTTTGAAATCCGAGTTCTCTGATTTGGGACAATGAGGATTCCTTTGTGAGCATTATACCGGAGGTGCCAAAAAATGTGTACAAGTGAACACTTTGGTCAGCGTTGCTCAAGCAGTAAGTAGTTCGCCGTCATCAGAAGCGTCTGGATGCTGATGGGAACCACTTTGAGCACTTCTTGTAATTGTACAAGCCAAATGTGACTTATATTCGTCTTTTGTTATTGGTATATATTATTACATTTAATGCCGCTTTTTCCTTTCTTAAAATGTGTCTACGTTTTTTTTGGCGCCCTCTGTGTAGAACCATGGATCTTTCTGAATCTTCACAGGCAGTGGGATCAGTTTAGGACTCTGTTCTCAGCGCAGAGGTGGGTCACCACACCATGCTGCTGAAAAGAGCTGCGAGCTTTAGCCTCGTCCACACAAGTAAAAGCGGAGCTGGGTTTGAGTATCGCCTTTAGGAGGATGGTTCACCAAGCTGCTGAGTCGTGGCTTCTTACATTTAAGAGTTACTCTTTAGCTTCTTAAAGTTTGCCATTTGGATGATGTCTTTATAGAAAATGAATTTTTTCTTGTTTTTGTGGGTCATTGTTTAAAACTAAAAACCATCAGCTTCCGGGGCCGGCCAAGTGGCTCAGTTCCAGCTGAGTGGTTAAGAGTTAGCTTAAAAGCACGAGCTCTGAGCAACAGGGCCGCCAGTTCGATCCCCACATGAGCCAGTGACGCTGCACCCGAGCTGAGTTGTCACTGAGCTGCCAACAGGTGGCAGGATGGCTCAGCTGGTGTAACAACAAGACTGCCTGTTTGATGGTGAGCTACGCCCGCCCACAACTAAGACTGAACTCGGCACCTTGAGCTGAGCTGCCACCCAGATGTCTCAGTGGATACAGCATGCGCTCTTAACAACAAGGCTGCTGGTTAGACTCCTGCATGGGATGGTGGCTACGCCCACCAGCAACTAAGACTGAACACAGCACCTTGAGCTTAGAGGCCACGAGCTGCCAACGGGAAGCCAGATGGCGAATTGAAGAACAACTTGGCTGGTCTCCCTCCCCAATTCCCCAACACTGTTCCCCTCCCCTAGTTCCCCAATTTAAAAAAAAACAAAACACCAGCTTCCAGTATGACAAATGATGATGAAACTCAAGCGTCTTGTTAACGGGTGTGTCGGGTGTTGCAGCTTGGAGACCGTGTCCCACTTGGTGTTCACTAGGATGTGCTGCATCAGCATTAGGACAGGCAGCAGATTTCTGTAGCAGCAGGTCTGCTAAATTGTCTGAATTTAAGAAACCTGACCAATTGCAATTTAATAAGCCCCGGGCAACGTTCCCCCAACCTTTTTTTTTTTTTGTATGTTGCTTAACATAGAAAGAGCTCATGTATCCCACCTGCTTTTAAACTGTTGAGTGGTTTCTTAGTGTCGCCTTCACTGTGGATTTGAATTTTTCCGTGTGGATAGGAGTGTGAACTTAGTACATTCTCATCCGTAACCAAAGACACAGTTGATGGGATTAATCGCAGTGCCACTCGGATGAAAGTGCCGCCAACTAAGTGGCCACAGCTCTCAGTCAGATGCTGCGTCCAGGGCCCAGGCCTGTCACCGTGCATTTTAGAGTCCGTGAAGCAGAGGGGCTTGCTGCTGGGTCGGGAGGCGCAGGGTGCCGGGTGGGTCGGGGCCGTGGAAAGGTCCTGGCTGTGCAGCACCCAGGAGGTAGCAGGCAAGGAGTGGTGCTTTCGAGCTTCCTGCCTTCTTACGGCAGAGCCTCTGTCCAGGGAAGCCCCACATGTAAATCGAGGCGAGCAGAGCTGAACGCAGCTCTGCAGCCCACCACGATCGGACGCCCACCATCCACAGCGCCCTTTCTGTGTGACTGGTTCATCTGGGGGCATGAGAGCTCAGCGCGCCACAACAGGACCAGACACCCACCTTCTCCCCTTCACGGGTGTCGATCAGGTTCCCAGCAGCGCAGGCTCTGCACTGCTGGTCAGAACCATGTCTTCCAGAGTCCATTCCTCACTTTTTCTGTTTTCCTCTCTCCTGAGAAGGGGCCTGAGGACCCTCGCTGCTTAGGCCCCCAGTTCTCCGAGAGAATGACCAGGAAATGCAGGCCGCACTTGGCAGGGACGCCTTCCTTGTTTGCTCATGGACTGCTGCTGTCTTCTGGGCCGTTAATGTCTCACGGCCTCCGACTGACCTGCAGGTTCCTCCTTTTAACTGCTTCTGTTTCATTTTGCTCATCTGTGCAGTAGGAGTGTGTTGGTATAGGGTGTTTTTGCACAGAGAGCAGTGAGGTGGTGAAGAGGGAGAATGGGTTAAATAGCGCTGACCACCTCACAACACACTCGTGGAAATTGTGGAATAGAGATTTGCAGAATCCTGCTGATGAGTGCTCAGTTTCAAGGAATACGCAACACACAGAAAGTCGGTACAGATTCAGGTAGCTTTCTGGACGTTTTCTCATAATACGAGCTCTTCATTGAGAAATGTGAGGAAGTATCTGGACATAAGGTGCATTCTTTAGTTCAGTTTATTGACACATATAATAAAGTATTAAAAATGTAAGATGTTTTATTATTTTTAAATTTATTTTTCAATTAAAGTTGACATGCAATATATATTAGTTTCAGGTGTGCAATATAGTGGTTAGACATTCATATACCTAAAAATGTGAGATTTTAGATGCTCGTTATAGAGAATTAACAAAATACTGGTCCCCTTGATTTCTACTGTGAAATATTTAACGTTTTATAGAAATTGTCATTTTGGACGTACAGAAGATTACAGAGATTAATATAAGTGTACATCCGAACCCACCACCCAGGTTTTGCGTCTGACAAAAAGGAAGGGGAAACCCTGGTGTACACACGAAGCGTCGGCTGTGCCCTCCCCCGTTCATCTTTCACGTTCCTTCCAAATCTTACTTTATTCTCTCGCTGCCTCCCCAGAATCGGTCATTATTTTGAAGACTGCGCACACCTTCCCAACATGGTTTCTACGTCTACACATAGAATCATTGTGTGTGTTAAAGATTGGCTTAAGAGGCCTATGACTGTGGGTGTCTCTGCCACTTGCCTTTCTCACATGTGCCAGCTCGTTTATTGTAACTCTGTGCTGTGTGGTTCTGTGTAGCAGGCCCCGTCCCTGGCGGGCCTGAGCCTGAGCGTCGCGCTGGCTGGCCGGCCAGCTGGCTGTCACAGGCGGTGGTGCAGTGCACACCCCTGCGGGAGACCCCGGAGGACTCGGCAGGCTGGGCCATCTCTGCAGGGCCAGGGCACACGCGGTCCCCTCGTGAGCCCTGCTATTCCAGCTGCTGCCCCGCCCGGCTCGCACCAAGCGTCCAGAGCCAGGACGTGCACACCAGGAGCCGGACTGTGTTCCGGAGCCCTGCCCGGCGGGAGCATGCTTGTGCGCAGGCGCAGCTGGGGCGCCCTGCTGGGGCAGACGCTAGGCCTGGAGTAGAGGGGCTGGGAGGTAGATCACCCTTCTTAACTGTTTTCTCCAAGGAAATGAATTCTGAGTGTCATCTGTCTGACTTTTTTTGATGCGGGATGTTTTCTAACTTTTAAAAATGTGTGTGGTTATTTAATGTTCAGATGGGTAGTACTACAATTTTCTCTGCACTGTGTGCTTCGTTCATTAAAACAGCTTCATGTTTCTTTGCAGAATAAAAGCCGCCCTCATTCTAGGGGAGAATATAATGTTTACAGTACCTTTCAAAGTCATGAACCAGAGTTTGACTATTTGAAAAGTCTAGAAATTGAGGAAAAAATTAATAAAATTAGGTGGTTACCACAACAGAATGCTGCTCATTTTCTACTCTCTACAAACGGTAAGAGCTTTTGTTTTTTAATAACTGTTTGACTTAAGATTTTATTTTGAATGTTCTGTGTGTAGGTTCTTTATTATTGTAACCTATTGCAGAAGTTATTTCTGTTTTAAACTTTGGGGGCAGGGGTGGGTAATTATTAGCGAGGTAGCAAGTGATAGGTTGAAAACGCGAAATCCCACACGCTCTCCCTCCCAGCATCACATTCCTCAGCTCTGCCTGCGTTTCTGCACCCTCACTTAGCGTAGGGAACATGTTCGCCCATAATTGTAAATGCTAATGGACGTAGAACCACAGGGCTTCTGCTTACAATACTCAGCTGATAGTGGTGCATGGTGTGCTTTTTCTTTTAATATGGAGAATGGGGTTTTTATTTTCAGATAAAACTATTAAATTATGGAAAATAAGTGAACGGGATAAAAGAGCAGAAGGTTATAACTTGAAAGATGAAGACGGACGCCTTCGAGACCCGTTTAGACTCACAGCACTGCGGGTACACATTCCGTTTCTTTACCTGTCGGTACTTTCCCTAAACGCGTCACCAGGAATGCCTGAGCAGTTGTGACCTGCCTTCTTGGTTCATGGAAGTTACTAGTGATGGGGAGGAATTATTTTTATGTAGGTGTGTTAAAAACAGGATTCCTCATGTCCCGAGTAAAAGTCACGTCTTCAGAAAATGCAGTGATGCTGAAGAAAAGGCTCAGATTTAGATCCATACAGGACTCTTTCCAAATCTACCAGCTGCCTTCCCCTGTACAGGTCCCAAATAGCACGTGGTGGGACTCAGGACAGCACCCCAGTGACGTAGCGCAGGCTGCAGGTAGAAAGGTGCCCTGCGGGCCACCAGGGTCCATGGGTGGGGCTGCACCTGACTTAGCCAAGGCAGCTGGTCTCACAGGGCCCTGGCCTTCAGTCCCGGAGCCCCGAGGCAGAGTGTGAAATGACCGTACTGCATCAGTTCTGCTGCCTGGATTTTTTTCACATTTTTAACATCTATGAAGCTGAGTACAACTTAAGACCTTAGTGTCTTGTAATTGGCCTGGTGGTGCCTGCCATCGATGGTGCCTTAAATCAGATGGAATGTGGGCCAAGCAGGTAAAGCAAGCTAGCGTGATGCCTGGGCACGGCTCGGTGTGACACCGAGAGGCGGACGGGCAGCAGCAGGGAGCGCTGCGCTGCCTTAGCTCAGGGGGCCCGACACTGTGCGGCCTTGCGGACTTGCACACGTGCCCCAATACTGTTTATCAGGTACTGGCCCAGGCAGTGGGCACGACAGAGAAGAAAACGTGCTGCACACTCCCACTCACGCCCCACTGTGGTGACACGGCACCGACCCCACTCCTCGGGCTCCCTTGTGCTGGGTGCGTGCAGGGCACACTGGATGGAGTCCTAGCCTGGCCATGAGGCAGTGGCACCAGCCCCTAGGGAGACAGTGGGACGTAGTTGGGTGAGTGCTGCCGAGGACACGTGCTGGGTGGGACAGTTGATATAAGACCTTTTGGGTCACAGTGTCACCCTGCTCCCCAGGGGGTGGAGACCGAGAAAGCCGTGTGATGTGCTCAGGTCACATGTACAGAACCCTAATTTGGACCAGGGGTTTTGGGGTTTGTCGTTTTGTCTTGTTTCGTTTTTATTTATTTTTGCTTTTTCTTTGAACCAAGATGTTTTGATCCAAATGGTGACTTCTGAAACCCCGTGCTGCTGCTTTTGCATCCATGAATTCGGAATCATTTTCAAATAAGTCACTTATTTGAAACAAGTTAGTCACTTATTTGAAACAAGTTATTTGAACAAGTTAGTTAGTGACAGTAACACGAGTTTTATAGTTACCAATAGCCAACCGCTCCTTTTAGCTGTTAGGGGTGATAGCATGGAGGAGGATTGGGGCCCCAGCCTCATCCGTCCCTCCTGGCCACCGTCGCTGCGCCTGCCCGAGCACACTGGCCCCTCAGGACCCAGGTTGCTCCTGACCAGGCTGCTCGCTCCAACGACCACCTGCCTACTTTGGGGAAACTGTGGGCTTAATTGGGCCCAGTCATGGCTTTCTTCAAGGCTGCTCTTATCTGTTTAGCCTGAATAAAACTGGTCAGTTGGTGGCTCGGTAAAGCACATGCAACAGGGCGTTTCAGCATAAACTGCCCTTGTTTGTTGCAGTGTGGAGTGCACGGTGCCAGGCAGGTCACTCCACTGACTGACCCGTGTGGGTCGGCTCTGTGTTTGAGCTCCCAGTCACCTCTCTCTAAAGGTTCAAGAGGGACTCTTAGGTTGTCTGAACTTAACTGGGTAAGAGTGAGAAATGCTGCTCTTTTTAAATTGTGTTTTCCTCTTAGTGTCAGAAAGGGGATTAATTAGAGGAAAGAGTCTTCCCATCATAAGTGTTCCAGTTGTCACGTGTGTTGATTAATTAGACTTGTTGGAAGGGTATTTACAGGTGTGTCCTAGCATCATAGAACTGACACCTCCCACCCTAGAAAATGCAGGTGTGGTCAGCACTTAACTGGTTTAAAATGAGGGAAATACTCCTGTACACATTTCCCCAAGAATTTGGGCCAGAGAAGACTAAACTGAGAGATTTTCCTTCTAGTCTTCCTAGCACTCTTTTGGTTTTTAATTACAAAAGTAACAAAAAGAATGTTAATTTTTTGCTTTGATTTTAAAGCTTCTTTCTTTCCTGCTAGATGTCAGTGATGTTAGGCCTGTTTTTCTTTTTTGTCACTTGTGGACTGCCACCCACAATTCCATCCTTCGCCTGGCGAACGCCTCTCGACCATTTCATTTCAGTGTAGATGTCCCACTCCCTGGAAAGCCTGCCCTGACCACAGCACTCGTCACAGACATGGGGTTTCCGTGCCTGTTTTTAAAACCTTTTATTGAAGTATAATATACATACCAAAAAATGCCTCTGCCATATAAGTGAACAGCCCATGAACACCCAAGTGCAGCCAGTGCCAGGTGGAGACATGGCATGCCCTCAGCCCCCCGGTGTCCCTTCCAGGGCTCATGGGGAGTGTGCTGACAAGCAGACCACTCACGGAGGGGGAGAGGCCCCTGCGCCCAGCTCCCTGCCAAGAGGGGGGAGGATGTGACCTTTGCGGTCAAGCGGCTCCTGGCCACAGGGACAGACAGGAGCGAGAAGCCACATCAATAGCACCAGAGCCCTGGAGGCAGTTTGGTATTTTCTTCAACAAGAAAGTGTCAACCTCGGTAAAGGCAGAAAGGAGTAGTGGCTTGGGACAGACAGACAGATAAGACCCCCTTTGTAACCTGTTTTCACAGCTCCTACTCAGTGACTCGGGGTTCTACCTGTACAAACCTGCTACTTAGCTGTGCATGTCGAGTTGTCCTTCTTGTCATCTACTGCTGAGTGTTCTGATTTTGTGCTGCTGCGACCTTGTTTTGAATTCCTGTTTCCTTTCATTTTTAGGTCCCAATATTGAAGCCCATGGACCTTATGGTGGAAGCAAGTCCACGACGGATTTTTGCAAATGCTCACACGTATCATATAAATTCCATCTCAGTAAACAGTGACCATGAAACGTATCTTTCCGCCGACGACCTGAGAATTAACCTGTGGCATTTAGAAATCACGGACAGAAGTTTCAGTATCCTTCCTCGGGCGGGCGCTCGGAGCTTTCCGCAGGCTCCTTCTTCAGACAGGGAGCGCTCCCCGCTCTGCGCCCCGCCGTGGCTCAGGACACCTTGCTGCAGAATAGCCTGTGATTCGAAGTGTGTGTCCTTGAAAGGACAGCTTCTTTGTCCCTGTGAGGAGAGTTTTCTCTCTGATGGGAATGACCTCAAGTCAAGTCCACTGTGTCCACTGCCTCCCTGGGTGAATCAGGCAGTTTCACAGAGTATGTATGTATACGTTCGCAACACCGAGGTTTTTCCTTTCTTTTTCTTTTTTTTTTGCTAAATTTGCTAATAGAAAATTGTGACGTTGGCTTCAGTTAGCATGATGTTTAATTAACCCAACCCAGGAAGTGATTGATGGTGTAAGAATTCTGCTTTAGAAGACAGACTATTTAAGGAATAGTCAAAAATTCATTTCTTTAAACGATGTCTGCTACTGTTTGGGTTTTTTTAAACTTTATTGGGGAACATTGTGTTTTTCCAGGACCCATTGGCTCCAGGTCAAGTCGTTGTTTTTAATCTAGTTGTAGAGGGCACAGATCACTGGCCCATGTGGGAATCGAACTGGCAACCTTGGTGTTAAGAGCCTGCGCTCTAACCACCTGAGCTAACTGGCTTCCCCGCTACTATTATTTTTAAGATGAAAACTAAATATTACTGGCTAATCACACATTTAAGAGTTACTGATTTCTCCAGAAAATGCGAGCTATGTGATACATACAGATCAAATGGCTTCAGTCCGATTCCTCCACATTTCGGAGCGATGGCTGGCCGGCTGGAGCCGGACAGGACTTCTCGCCGACTCCCCTGCCAAGCTCCAGGCCTTGGAGTGTGCTTGTCACCCTGTACGTGCATCAACCTCGTGAAACGAGACGTAGATGACTTTAACTCGTAGCATCCGACACTTAATTTTTATTGTCCTTTACTTGTTTTGGTAGTTACTTAGTTTATGAAACTGTCCCTCGGACAGTCTCTGTCGTGCTGGTGGTTGGAGCGAGCCGGCTTGGTGTCCCAGCCAGGCGCCTGGCGTGTCGCACCGGGCTGAGGAGCCCTGGAGGCGGCTGCAGTAGTGGAAGAACCGACAGTCGTGTGTGACTGTCTCTCTCCTTCAACTTTGCAAAACTTCCCAAATTACAAGGTTTATAACCATGGCCCCTGCTTTCTCTTTATTCTCATTAAACCCTTATATTTTCAACCTTTCTTCTGAATAAAATTGAAGTGATACAGAGGAAGGCAGGCTGTCCCGCTTCGTCCGGCCTCCAGAGACGCCGCGTTGTAAGCAGCTGGGTGCGCACCATCCAAGCTTTTCGGTCTACGTGAGCACAGTTCTGTTTTACAAACACGGGCTCATCCTCTACGTGGCGATGGTGAGGCTCCCAGCACCGGGAGGGTCAGGAGGCCCCAGCGGGAGCTCACTGGCCTTGGCGTCAAGCCACTTGGTCTCTAGAAGCCTTTCTCTTCCTCTATCAGGTTGAGGAACTAGAATGTGCCTCCTGGTGTTATTGTAAAAACTGAGAAGACGCAGGGCGCTCGGCACGGAGCCTGGTGTATGGCCGCCAGCCTCGACTTCCGTTAGCATGCTGCGCCCATCTGTCCCCATCATAGGCACACAGATGTACAGCTGTAGGGTTCACTGTGCCCGTGTCCCTCTATTTGATGTCCCGCTCTGTGGCACTGTAGGTCTCTATTAAGTTAATGCCCATTTTTGTGAATCTTTTTTTTTTTTTTTACGTCCTTTGTCATTTGTTTCTCCTAGCGGAAACTCATATTTTTCCTTAATGATTTGTGAGGACTCTTAACACATAAAGGGTTTGTTTATGCCACAGTCCTTCATTGTTTTTTAAAATGTTTGTCCCATGATCATGCTTCAAATGCCCTTTCCTGAGACAGAAACGATAGATGGTAGGACACACACACTTTCGCATACTCGTGTCTCACCACTGTGCAAATGCCTGAGCCACTCACACGACAGGCCCAGCCACTCCACCCCTTCTGTGCACTGACAGCTGCCCGTGGGCCCCTCTGTGCCTTGGGCCTCTTGCTCCTGGTTAACTCTCGTGTGAGCTGGCACGGTCCTCTCACCCGTGGAGGGGGGCCCTTCTCCAGCCTGGGCCGTTTCCTCGCGGGCTTGTGCTGACCTGTCCTGCCTTGAGCCTGCTGGGAGCTCTTCTCCCGCTCTCAGCACTGCGTGCCCCTCGGGCTTCCCTGGACACCCAGGCCATCGCCAGGCCTGGCCCGGGTCCCCACCCTGCGCAGTGGCAAGCTGGGGAGCTGTGGGTCCATACTGTCTCATGTCCAGTGCCTGAGCTGTGGTGTCGCCTAATTGGTCAGCTTTCCTAGATGTCACAGTACCTGTGGTCCCTGCTGTTCCATCTTGACCCCGAGCCAGCTCCTGCTCTCCTTTTGTCAGTTGTGTGATATCTGTACTTGGCAGCCTACTCTGGACACGTCGTAACTACAGAGCCCATACGTAGCTGTTGACGGCAAATACTTGGAAAAACACAATCATTTGAAATTTGGCAACACTCGTGTGTGATTGTTCATGGATATAAGCATGGATTTCTGTACATGTGGCCACTTGCTTGCTTTGCTTACATGTATTACTAAGTCTATATGACTGTGCTATGAAGGACTTCACAGAACGTTAGCCATAGCCACAAGAGGAGGCAGTGCGTGCACAGCCTGTGGCCAGGGTCGGGTCCGAGCGCCAACGCAGCTGCTCACGGGCAGGCTCTGTCACATGGTGCGTGTGTGCGTGTGTGTGTGTGAGTGTGTGAGAGAGAGAAAGAGAGACCACCTCCTGGGTGGTCATCTACCCTCACTGCCGAGCAAGGCGTGTGCATGTGCGTGCGTGTGTGACCACCTCCTGGGCGGCTCGTCTCTACCCTCACTGCCGGGCAAGGCGTGCTCCCACGCCGTTCCCCTGACTGTGGACTGACTGACAAATCCCGGATGTTGTGCCTTAACCGCATGCCCGCAGACATCGTGGACATCAAGCCCGCAAACATGGAGGAGCTGACGGAGGTGATCACTGCGGCCGAGTTCCACCCACATCAGTGTAACGTGTTTGTCTACAGCAGCAGCAAGGGAACCATCAGGCTGTGTGACATGCGCTCCTCAGCCCTGTGCGACAGACACTCTAAGTGTAAGTGCCTGCGTGTGGGGAACGGCTCCCTGAGACCCTGCTGTTTTCCGATGCTGAGGCGTCTGCAGAGGCCGACAGGCATCTTCTCTTATCCCCACGTCTTACTGGCCGTGGGCCATGGCCGAGAAGTGGACCGTGAGGTCGTGTGGCCCAGGGACTTTCCGTGGTGGGCCCAGCATGGGATTCTGGGCTGGAGCCACGAGCCGCGTGTTGCCTCCGCCTCTGCATTAGGTCGCATTCCCCGTGACTGCTCCCCGCTGCCGCGGCAGGCTCTGCTCCCGGGAGCTGTGCTGTGCTGGCAGCCAGTCCCCCGGGAAAGGCGGGCACTTGAACCCACTGAGCCTGGAAGTCCTTCCTAGGTGAGGAAAGTTTTGGATTCATTTTATTTGTAGCCGTAAAGAAGAGGCCCCACTTTATAGAAAACCAGTGTGCGTGCCGTGGGTGTGTAACGTACGTCCTGGAAACTGCACACGGGTCCCGGGAGTGCCACCAGGTAAACCCTTCCTGCCCCGCAGAGTCTCCCGTATAAAGAGCGCCTGACGTTAGTGTCCCCGCTGACTGGCTCTCAGTAACCTTCCTGCCTGATTCTCTTTGTGGGGCTGAAGTGTGTTTTCACAAATTCTGTACTTCTTACAGAATTCCTGCAATGAAGACTTGAGTCTGTGTCTTCAAGATGACACTCTTGAATAAACAGTTTTAGAAGTCAAAAGTAGTTTTGTCTGTTAGCGAAGCAATTTCTTTGAATAGATGCTCGGTGTTGCCCCTAGCTTGCTTAAAATCAACTTCAAATGCAGAGCTAAAAACATACAGGTTCTTAACGCTGTTTTTAAAAAGATGGAGAGGTTTAAAATGAAAGGATGTACTGCTCTCTCACCCAAAGTTTCCCAAGCCAAAGGCGGGACAGTGCACTGGGGGCCGCTGGGGGTGCGGCCTCCGGACAGCAGGGTGGGGGGCTGTTGAGGTGCTGCTGAGGAAGCAAAACTGGGAGACAAGAAGGTCTGACGGAGCATTCAGGATTTCTGAAAGAAGTGGTTCTGCTTCGTCATCACACGCCGTGACTACTGAGTAGTAGAAACAACCCCTGACAGGTGGGACCGTCCTGGTTATTAAAATCCGGACCACAGCGTTCCCAGCTGGGGGTGGCAGTCACTCCAGCAGACCTGTGGCACTGCCCAGGCAGCCCTGAAGCGCTACGTCTGCGTTCTCAGGTGACGCCGTATCTGCTCCCTGGGCTGGGGACGCCGCGGGCAGGACGTGGTCTGCTGGGGCCTGGTGCTGCGAGGACACACAGACATGGTGCAGTCGTGGCCTGCGGTCGGCGCAGGGACCTTAAGCAGGACACAGGTCAGCATGTCCTGGCGCTTTTCCAGGTAGAGTGGAAGGCCTCGCCTACCGAGTCTTCTGACACTGCCTCCTGCCTTTCGCCGGCACTGCAGTGTCTTGTCCAAACATCTTAAGCGCAGAAGTCCCAAGACGGCAACCATCCGGCCACCAGGAAAAGCAGGAGCTCAAGTAGGGTCCCTGTGGAGTCTCGGGGTCCCGCGTCCAGCGTGGACTTCAGAGCACTGTGCTGTCCAGTTTCTAAACACACACCGAAAACGTTGTGTCTTTCAGTTTTTGAAGAACCTGAAGATCCCAGCAGCAGATCCTTCTTCTCAGAAATCATTTCCTCCATCTCCGACGTGAAATTCAGTCACAGCGGTCGGTACATGATGACCCGAGACTACCTGTCGGTGAAGGTGTGGGACCTGAACATGGAGAGCCGGCCGGTCGAGACCCACCAGGTGAGGCCGCGGCTGGGGACGGCGCCACACCCACAGTGCCGCCCTCTAACCTGCCTGTGATCTCATTAAGGTCCACGAGTACCTTCGAAGCAAGCTGTGCTCTCTGTACGAAAATGACTGCATCTTTGACAAGTTTGAATGCTGCTGGAGCGGTTCAGACAGGTAAGGCCTGCATCGTGACGACAGCCCGAAGCAGGCTGCTGCTCGGGCCCGACAGGGCCTTTCAGAGGCGGGGGGCTGCAGTCCCAAGTGGCGAGGGGGCATGATGGACATGGCTCTGCAGGCCGTTCATTGATTGGTTGGCGACAGACTCCACGTGGGGAAATGGGATATCCGAGCTGATTCCTGACCGTGCTTGTAATTCCATCGGTGTGTAGACAGTAAGCACAGTACTAGGTTCATATTGGTGGTTTTTAAAATGATTAGTGAATGATGATTTCTTATTTTTTATTATTTCCAAGACAGTGAAAAGGAAGGAAGTGGGGAAGTTATTTATTAGTAAGTATGTGGCATGGCCACATTTCAGTTGGCCTTTTCTTCTGGAGAGAAGTGGGAGACAATACCCGCAGAGCTTACCGGTTGTCATGCTGGAGATGGCCAGTGTGAAATCCTGATTTAATGATAAAGTGACCATTCTGAAGGTGGTACACAAGCCTGCACTTAGACCGCGGCTGGCACACCCTGTGCGCGGTGGGCCAGGTGGAGAGCGGCCAAGAGTCATGTTCTTGGCAAACCCACTGAGAACACTGGTGCGTGGGTACCTGGCGGCCATGTCAGAGAGCCTCTGCCGGAACACCCCAGGCTCCGCGTGTCCCCAGGTGAAAGGCACACTTGGGCTCACAGGTGAAAACTACCAAGCATGTGCAGGAAAGCCATCTCCCGTACGTCAGCAGAGGCAGCAGCGGGACTTCCAACCCCGGGGATGCAGACTCTGAAGTCATTACGTGACAGAATATGAAATGAGAATGCCAGCAGCCCGCACAGATTGAAGGAAGGAACCCAAACCTGAACAGGGCACCACAAGACAATTAAAAACGACTTGGGAGATTTGGAGAAGAATCAGATGGAATTTGGAGAAACGAGAAATGCAGCAGTTGAAAGTCACTGCCTGTAGTGAGACATGTATGTCAGATGGTCTCAGAGACAGCGAGCAGGGAGCACACTGGACCAGTGGGTGCGGCCTGGTGGCTTTGTGACGTTTTGAGCAGGGACGCCAGTTTTGTGTTGAAGAATCTGTAACTTCAGATAGAAACACGTCCGGGAACGCTCACCCTGCTCTGACTGCCCAGCAGGCGGCAGGATGGGAGAGCCTCTTTCTGGGAGGGCCCACAGGGGGCCTTAAACTGTCAGCGTGCCCGGTGGGTACGTGGATAGCCACTGCGTAGTCTTCGTGCCTTTTGCAAAGTGCATTTAAAGCACCTGCCCCTGGGGACTTCCAAAGCTTTCCGGTCACGTTGGTTCGTTCTCGGGGACACTGCCCTGCCTTTTTGCTGGAAGCATCTGTTGAGGGGCGCGGTGGATGGAGCGACCTCCCTTCCCTGTCCCTCTGCCAGGACCGGGCTGCTGGTGCCCAGCATCCTTGTGCGCTGGGTAGCCTGCGAGCATGGACACAGCAGGGCTGCTGGGGCCCCTGACACCTGCGGTGGCCGTGTCCACGGTGGAGTCCAACAAGCACGGCTAGCTGGGCCTGACGTTCCTCTTCACGTTTTTTTATCTGGTGTGAAGCGTTAGGGGCACTAATCTGACACTAAAGTGTTTGCCCGCAGCCGGGATCGGGCTTGAGTGACGTAAATGAAACCCCAAGCTTCTCGTGGTGTCTTGAGGACCAGCCCGTCACCGTGCAGTGATGAGACAGAGGGTGGGTGTCGGTGTAAGAAGGTGGGGGACGAGCGGCGGAAGGCGCTGGTCCCAGCCTGGCAGCAGAACTCCGAGTGGCATCATGGGGACACCTCTCACTCATCAAGAACCGGACTCATTCTAAAGCCGCGGGGTCGAGTCATGGCAACATTCACTGCCATGCAGCCACTGTTCTCTCATTTTTATAGGAAACGACCAGAAGTTTCTACCACTATAAAGGAAATATAACATGATGATGGATGATGTAGTGGAATTTTCCTACTACAGACACTGAAAGCCATTAGGATCACTTCTGAAGAAATACCGACATGGACAGTATCGCAGCGTCTGGAACTTACTGCGAAGGGAGGTTCTAAATGTCCCCACACTTCCGCACATCGTGGTGGCCCCCCTGTGACTTTTCCTCTCATTTGTATACCTGTTGCTTCATGTAGAAAAACTTTCTGAAATTAATGAATTCAGAAAACATTCTCTGATCACCTGTGAGTGAAGAGCATCTCGGACGAGTGTCTACTGAAATGACTGGAGAGCGTTTGGGTTGCTGTCACAGTCAGAAGTCAGGGCTGGCAGTAAATCAGACTGTACCCGTGAGCGGGCGGGTGAGTGTGCAGAGCGCTTTGTACCTGTTCAGACACGCATAACGTGAGTGCAGAATGCAAAAGGGTGAACCTGTTACTTTTTCCCTTGTGATATTTCGTTTCCCTGACAGGATTATTCATATGAAGTACAGTGAGTAGTCCCTGTGGCGTTGCCCTCATGACCATACTGCTTTTCGCTCGTGTCTGAGAATATTTGTGTGCCGTGGAGCAGGGCTGCTGGGACGCGACCCACATGGCGAGTCGGGGGTGGGCCAGCGCCGTGCGGGTGTCACGCGCCTGCTCACTGATGCGCCCCTGTCTCTTCCTGTTTGCACAGCGCAATCATGACTGGGTCCTACAACAACTTCTTCAGAATGTTTGATAGAAACACGCGGAGGGACGTTACCCTGGAAGCTTCCAGAGAGAACAGCAAGCCTCGCGCCAGCCTGAAGCCTCGGAAGGTGTGCACAGGCGGGAAGAGGAAAAAGGACGAGATCAGCGTGGACAGCCTGGACTTCAACAAGAAGATCCTGCACACGGCCTGGCACCCGGCGGGCAACGTCATCGCCGTGGCCGCCACCAACAACTTGTACATCTTCCAGGACAAGGTCAACTAGCCGTGGGTGCGCACACAGCTAAGCCTGGCCGTTTTCTGTCGAGGGAGGGCGCTGTCCTCCCCACGGAGAGCAGGGTGCACTTCCGTCCCCTCTGAGACGGGGGCGGGCGGCCTCAGCGGAGCCAGCGTGCCTCTGCCCGCAGCGGGGAGGCCGTGGGGGTCGCTGCCCGGCCAGGAGCCGCTCGGAACAGACTTGACGGATAGAGCTCAGTCGAGGCCTTTGCTCAAAATAAATGTATTTATTTAAATCTGAGCCGTCCTTCCCGGTTTATAGACCAAAACGTTAACACCCAAGAGAACAGGTGTTGTCAGGTCTCTAGTCTCGTCCTGCTCTGCCGTCTGGGGCCCACATGCAGCTGCATCTGCGCCGGCCACCCTGACCTGGGGCCACCAGCCCAGGCAGCTCCCCACATGCCTGTACGGCCCTCACGCCGGGTGTGACCACTCAGTGAAGGCGACACTGCACAGTGTCTGAAATCCCCACCTGAGCGTCGTCTGTTTGCTTTGACTGCACATCATGAGTCATGAGGCTGGTGCTCCAGGGCGCTTGGGAGCCTTGTCCTTCGATGGCAGAGCGGTGGCACCTGCGCAGTTCTGCAGACTTGAGTGCGCCTGTCCCCACACGCCCACTTTGTGTCTGTGAAGCAGCACGCCCGACATGCCAGGTAAGGTCTGGGGAACGCCTTAACTGACCACCTCCGAGAAAGACAACTGCACCGAACGGGACAGAAGTGCTTCTGTGAAACCAGCTCCTGCTTTGCCGTGTGCAGAACTCGCTGCGGTTGCAAATTTACGTGCTTCCTTTTAACTTCTTAAACAGGCCTGGAGGGGTATACTTTTTAAACTTGATAACACGATCTGCATGCCCATTTTCCTACTGCACTTCAAGCCAGTGAAAGTAAACCACTTCAGCTGGGGTGTGATGCCACCGGGACAAGGCGGACCCTCGAGGTCAGAGCTCTGGATTCCCAGACAAGCTGTAGAGGCGTCACAGCACCAAGTGGCCGGACCGCGCCGTGTGGAGAGGCCCGTGAGCCCAGTGTCGGGCAGGGGAGCCGCTCGCACCCCAGGTGTGCCCGTCACTCGGCACCCTGAGTTAATGTCGCCAGAATGCCACGTTGGTTCACATTAAGTTACAAACTGAGCACCTAAAATACATTTATTTTAATTTAAAGACGATTCTTACACTGTATCTTAGTTGTGACACGGTTTACACATCTAAGATGTGGATCAGAGTTGTTTAAGCATCAGTCAGTCCTGGTCCTTAAGGAAAAGCAGTTCTAGTAAAACAGGATTGTATATATTTATTTGTTCAACTATTTTGACCAAAAAGTTTAATAAATTTTAATTGTTTAACTGGAGCTGCACTGTGTATTTGGACTTCTTTCATCTTTCCTTTAAAACGTATTTCCACCAAATAGAAAGCCAGCCTGTGCAGCTCGGAGGGGACCGAGCAGAAGGTAAGTGCCAGTCGCCATGTGCTGCAGGCAGCTGGCCCAGGCCTCCGTTCCCGTAGGTTCTCCCCGACACAGCGGTGACGCGGCAGATACACATTGAAGAGCGTCTAGGAATTCCTCTATTCTTTTCCTTTCTGTGCTTGATTCCAGGTAAGCCATTTTCCCACACCATCAGGTAAAAATCCTCTGGTTTTCAGGCTTTATTTCTTGTGTATAGTCTTTATTTATGAAATAGTTTGTTTTTCTTCTAGAACTTCCCTTCTTTCTCCTATTTGAAGTTAGGTCAGTTTTACCTGTTTCTGAAAGTTGATGCTGGGAGTTTTTTCATTGCTGAGGACACTGTTTTACTTGACAGGAGTTTTACTTCTCTCAGGGCAGATGGCCTGGATCTGGCGAAAAAGCTTTACTCGTGTGAATTTAGACATGCGTTTTTGAAAAGAAAACCCGAACCTCTAAGCCAGTCCAAGACAAGTGCAGTCAGCTTTTAAAGTGCGCACAGGTCATCGCGTGGTGAGCGGATCGGCTAGGAGACACACAGCCCCCGCCTGCCATCCTGGGTGAGGGCTAAGTAGCTGACGTGGTCACCAGCAGGACCGAGCCCAGAGCTGTGACCTGGTCTCCCCGGCGGGCAGAGCAGAGGGCTCTCACGAAGGTGCTTTATAGAGGGAGTTGTCTGCAGGTCTGCTTAGGGGGCTGGTGAGGGCGGCAGGAGGGCACCCAGACTCCGGATCCTGTTCCCTGTCCTTACGCAGCAGCACTGACGTCACCGGGGTGTCAGAAGCAAGGTCCGAGGAGTGGCGCCCCGAGTGGGCGAGCTGTACTCAAGCCCTTGGTGCTGTGCCAGGAAAGGAGGGCAGACAGGCGGCAGCTCATGGAATGCCCAGGACCCAATCCTCTGGCCTTCCAGGGGACGGGACGCAGCCACACACCTGGGGTAGGAAGGGCCCTCCTCCAGGCCAGGCCCAGCCGCTCTTCCCGTGGGTCCCACCCTCGCTGCAGAGGCTCACATGTGCCCACCATGGAGGCCGCCCGAGGAAGCTAGGGGCTGAGTGTGGACCAGGCATGAGGGCAGCACCGCCCCCACAGCCACACAGGGCTGTCACCTGACTAGGTGCTGGCCCCGTGCAGGCGATGGGCCAACCTGCCGGTGGGTGACAAGTGGCACGGTCACTGGTGGTGCCTCTGGGCCCCACACTGCACTGGCAAGTGCCGGGCGCAGAGGCCACCTGCACAGCATGGGAGTCACCTTGGTCTTGTCGGTGCCACGATGTTCTTGAGGTTGTGACAGAGAGAACGCTGGCTGCCAACGTGCAGGGGTCGAAGTCACTGCTTAGTCATCCAGGCCTCACGTCAGGCAGCTCCCACCTTCATGTACATGTGGCCTAAGGTGGAGGGCACCGATGGTGTCCAGGACAGGTGGCAGTCAGACTGGGTAGGAGGCTGGGCAGGTACCACAGAGGAACCCACACTTGGCTATCCTGTTTTGGGGGTTTGAAGTCGTCTAAGGCTGACAGACTCCAGCCCACTCTGACCTCACCTGTCTGATTTCGTCTCCTACCTCTGCTTCAGTGTCACTCCCTTCTGAGGAAGCACACCTGTCTGCCACCTGAGGCTTGTTAGGACTCTTCTAAGAAAGCTTGTTTGAAGACATGAGTAAATGGAACCTGTGCTTCCTCTGATCATCACAGTATCTTCTACGTATGGAAGGTGACGTGTTCCCATTTCATTTTCTTTGGGGGTGACATAATTTTCAGTTTTGCAAATCTCATCTGGCAGCTCTCCTTTCCTAACGTCCTTGAGCGTGAGCGACATTTCTAACGCTGGACCAGAACCTCACATGCAGACTGGCTCCCTTGCACACCTGCAGGGGCCCAGGTGTTTAGACAGGACCCAGGCCACCCGCTAGGGGCCACCCACTGTGGCCGGACCCACACAGAGGAGAGGCCCAGGGGTCCACGTGGAACCCCACCAGCTGGCGGGCGCGTCGCTCATCCAGCTGCTGGGTGTGTCTTCTGAAAGAAGCTCCCTGCAGCTTTCAAGGTGACCGTGTCCTGAGACTAGTCGCTGCTGCCCCCAAGCTCACTGTTACTAGAAAATTATCTCCTGAAATGTCAGCACATCTTTTTAAACGTGCATTCCATAAGGACGAGAAAGTTTGTTTTTCCAAGAACTAACTTTCAGGGGAAATTTTGTTCTCTAAAATCTAAATGTCCAAATGAGTACAATTGTGGTTCTTCTTAGGAATCTTTTCTGTATCGAGGTGTAGCTGACATCAGTATGTTCATTTCAGGTGCACACACAGTGATTAGATATGCGACACGGTTAGCACAGTCAGTCCAGTTCACAGCCGCCAGCAGCTAGATTTGTGATGAGACCTGTTGACCCACTCTCAGCCACTTTCAAATGTGCCGCGTGTTGGTACCGAGTCGCCTCGCTGTGCATCAGACGCCAAGATTTGCAGATTCTATAATGAACTTTGGTCCTCTGACCCCTTCACCCACTTCGCCCCCTCCACCCCCACCTCTGGCAGGCACCAGTCTGTCCTCTGACTCACTCAGCGTGATGCCCTCGAGGCCTGTCCATGTGGTCAGCGATGGCAGGACTGCGTGCTCAGTGCTGAGGAATACTCTACTGGACATAGGAGCCACGTCTTCATCTGCTGGTGCATCCGTGGGCACAGGGCTGTTGCCATGCTGGCTCTTGTGAATACTGCTGCGATGAACATGGGCTGCAGACGTCTCTTCAAGTTAGTGTTTTTGTTTTCTTCGGATACGAACACCCAGAAGTGGAATTGCTGGGACCTAAGGTAGCTCTGTTGTTAATTTTTTGAGGACCCTCCACAGTGTTTTCCATAGTGGCTGCACCAATCTGCAGTCCCTTTTCTTCACATCCTCACCAACACTTCTTGTCTTTTTAATAAAGAAATGGTTTTTTTCCTCAATGTAAGCTGTGGACTAGTAATTCGTGCAGATTTCAGAAATCTTTAGAAGGATCTTAGCACTAAGCCTCGCCCCTTCCTGGCGCTCATGGTAATCCGGTTACTCCTGCCCCCCGCC